GAAATAAAGCCAGTGTATTGCTGTGTTACCCAAAACCCCAACTGTGCTAAATAATAAAAATACTCCACTCTTTGGTGCGACTCTGTCCAGAATGTTTTGGCATTTAAAAAATAAAAATTAAATCAAATGAAATAAAATTATAAACAATCATTTGGCCAAGTAAGACACCACGACTCCTCACTTCTACAATACACCCCCGTACTCTGATTTGTCCAGCATCACTGTACATTATTTACACACTTGTACACTATCATTCTTTGTGGAAAGACAACAAAAAACAGTCACTTCTCTAAATATAGAATATAGGTTTCCATAGCACTACACAACGTAGTCTAGTTCTCTACATGTATATACTCCCTTTAGCCAATCACTCACTTCTTAAAGGGAAGGTTTGCCTTGCGACTGATGTGATTAAATGAGTGTCAAAAGCTGCTTTTCTTAATCAGTTTGTTTCTTACAGTTAGAAATAATGAGAATGATTAAAAAAACACATCGTACTGTAGAGATGGAAGTGAAGTGAATATAAAGTGGAAGTGTGGTGATATGATGACGATACTAATGATGGCGACTTAAAGTTGGTTGGACTGGACCCGGCCATCTGAGCTCAGCTCATACCTGCAGGAGGGAAAAAGTAGTTTAGAGTTTGTTTCATAATCCAGCTTTTTGCAACCTTTAAAGTCACATCGCTTTCATTTATCTCCACTACAGGCACATTTGCCCTTTCTCCAACTGTTGTCCTTATACCAGTGATTTATAAACTACTGATGGATGTTTACTGTCATACAGCTTATTGAATGTTTGGCCTCAGGTCTGTGCCTTTTTTTTTACAAAATCAATCTCACAATATTTAAGCAGAATATTGACTAATCTTCTTTCACTCCAGGTTAAGTGTTGATCCTTGAGAACTAAGTCTTCGCCAACTAGTGATGGATGAGCAACAGTGGCCATTTTATCCAGTAAATAAGCCTAGAGACATGCATTTGTAATCCACAGACTTTACCAAGGGTGTTGAACTCCAGGCGTCGAGGGCCGGTGTCCTGCAGGTTTTAGATATCACCTTGGGTCAACACACCTGAATCAAATGATTAGTTCATTACCAGGTTTCTGGAGAACTTCAAGACATGTTGAGGAGGTAATTTATCCATTTAAATCAGCTGTGTTGGATCAAGGAAACATCTAAAACCTGTAGGACACCGGCCCTCGAGGCCTGGAGTTCGACACCTGTGCTTTAGACGATAGCCCACTGGCAAAGCCAATAGCCTCTAAACAGTCTGCACAAAAACGACTGGCCAATACAACTTAAATAAATAAATGCAAAACACAAAAGTTCTAGTACAGCAAAGCCAATTTTTTTATATTCACGTGACATGTGTTTCTAGGTAAGGCTAGCTCTAATCCAAGCTATTGATGCATTCACAATATTAATTTCAAAAAATATAATGTAAAAAAATAACTTCATGATAATCTACTCAATCAAAAAATATATACAAGCAAACTTACATTTGAACTCATTATTCTCCAAGCCATGCTAGGAGTTCAATATGACATAATAAAGTAAACTGTATTTGTTTTAAATAGATTTGAAGCGAGATGAACGACTAACCATTGTGTCCAACCCTTGGAGATCTGATCATGATTCAATTCCAACACAACCTGATTAAAAAAAAA